GCCGTAAGATATTTGTGCCATCATTGACCTCACAATCAAATGAAAAATTGTTCTACAAACTTGATAGTCAGTGAAGCTCTTTGTATCTTGGATTGACTCACCGCAAACGTCTTGACCACATCATCTCTCTCAGACCAGACTTTGAAACAATGGTTCAATGTCATGAATAAAACATTGATATTTACTTACTGCCTTGAGGGAAAGCAGTTTTAGCAAGCCATTCCCGCAGTACATGTGTTGTACCATAACCAACTTCAAATGCAAATACTCCTCACCGGCAGTGAAAAGGTCCATGTCATGGATATAACCGATAACATTCATCTGCATGGTTTGCTCCCCAGTATGATCGCACAGAAAAGATGTTTTGGTGTCATCATGATTATCATGCCAACCCCCTTAATTTGCATCTGGTGGCATCAACTCTGGCGAATACAGAGCTAATGATGGTTTTGCAAAATTCAAAAGAGTATTGAGTTTCCTGAGTTAACGCTTTATCAGTCTATCAGAATAGATAAATGAAAGATTTTTTGTTCACATTGTGGTTTCCCTATCGTAGTACTCTGCAAACGATCCATGAATCTGTACAGACATCTTGCTTAGAAAAGATATCCTCATATTGCAGAACTCTGGTGTTCTTTTATGTCCTCCTTTAAGACCGATGACGTCCTCTGTTATGCGAAAATAAAGGAGCTGTTGATGTAAGTTAAAGTAACGTACTGAACTCATGCTTGTGTTCCCTTGATACAATACAATGTTGATCTTCGTCTGACAGTAACACTGTCAAAGTTGAGCATGTTATTTCAACAAACCAAATGACATTGAGACTTCCTTAGGAGCAACAGAAAACGGGTATTGATCATGGTGAAAGAACATGCCATAATGCTTTTGCATTCAACATACCATTGCTATACAGTATCAATTATCATGATCTGACAGAAATGTGGACCTTGAACTTTTTCAAACTCAGGTCTTGATTGCGGTGGAGTTGCTCTTTTGTATTGGCCGCATTATTGTGTTGCCGCCATCTAGCTCTGCACCTTATTCATGAAATATGCAATTCCCGGGGCTTTATTGCTTAGTATAAGTGCATCACATCTAACCACATTATCTGGGCCTCATGTATTTCAATGTCTTATTCATATCATTTATCAATTATTTCAATGCGAGTGATTGTCCCTATCAAAGCTTCTTTGCTAAGTATAATTCACTATAAAACTCTACCTCTGCCACCTGAAAGCGCACTCTTTTCTTTTTCTTTAGCTCCCTAACATGTCATATTTGACCAGTAAGTAAGCTTTTTTTGTCCAATGTGTACTTTAATCCCTTTCTATTTTCTTAGATAATGACAACATCCTTGTGTGCTATCTTTGGGTGTGCACATTGGGAAATAAAGAAACTCCTGCTGTGAGAGCCGCAGAGCTTCAAAAGTGGCAAATTGTTCCTCACACCTTAGACAAAATGCTGGAATGGGCGCATATCATACAAGGCGAGAATTGTGTAGACTCCACTCGAGGATATCAATTAGTCTACTCTTTGCCCTCTCCAAAAGTTGAAGGAGAAGTTTACCCCGTGTCTATTTGCCTGCATGGTTTTATCAAGACGTCACAATTGGCTACTTTAGGCAACTGGAACGGGTATTAACACTATCTTTGTCTAAATTTCAGCGTTGACATTATCTATTATAGAAATGATGAAATAATTTGAACTGCGTGTCAGTCATTAGTTCTGACTTGTTCAGGTCATTGCAAACCGTGGCTAGCTATGATTTCTTCTTTAAGCGTGATCCGCAAATTGGTTAGCAAAACGCTTGCCCCTGGCTCGCAGCTTCAATCCATGCCAAACATTCATCAAAATCTCTACATGCAAAGAACAGTGTTCAAAAAGGTAATTTCTTCCTTGTCTCAATCTACCGCGCTGACTGGCTCCAAAGAGGCAGGAAAACTGCGATGGACCACCAGATTTCTTAGCAGCACCAGACAATCCTAACCATTATTATGAGCGGATTAGCGCAGAATAGAACACCAATGACAAATTGCTTGTCGCAAAATATAATGCTACCAATCAACTGACAGTGATAAAACACCTTCTTCTGTCGCCTGGAGAGTTCGTTGAAGTAGGTGTAGAATTTAATATTGTTGTAAAATGTGGTGCCTCCGGACAAAAAACGGTGAAAGTTTTCCCAACCTTCACTCATATTATCCAATTACAAGAGAGCGTTGCAGCAAGGTCAGTAAGTCCTCTCTAATTGCTCCTAAATAAATACATTCATCTATTGCTTTTTCTAGTCCAATAACCAACCAAAGAAATGTAGCGCTCACGATGCGACTATGTCTGTGAAACGTACCAAAGTTAGACAAACTCTTGACATTGCCACACATTTGCCGAAGTAAAATGATTAACATAAAAGACATGGCATTATACAAAATGCCCAATAAATTACTTCTGCTATAAAACATCCAAGCAATCATATCCTCACATGATCACCACATTCAATGGCATGTTTCATTACAATTAGAATTTTTGATATTCGATCATTCTCTGATTTTTGATTGACTTTAGGACAATACAATTAATTCATATGGTACTCCTAAGTCTTGAGGCTCTATTTATTTGCTCTGATGTAAATTATGACGCTGACAGTTTAGTCACTTGCCATGTTTGCACATAAATACCTTGTCTCAACTGCCATCAAAACCTTTATTCAACTTTCCCACTATGACTACTAAAAGATCTCTGGCTTCTATTACAGGCCAGACCAAAAAACCTGTTTAACGGCCTTGGCAAGTCACCTTTTCCTTTATATTTTACTCTCTACTGATAGAGCTTTAGTGTAGAAACTGATATCAAGAATACCAATGACAACAACACAAATGTCCCTTCCCCAACAGATGTTTCCTTGCCCGCTTTAGACCATGCTTGTACTTTGGACAAAGGCAAAGGCATTGACAGGGGTCACAAGAAACCCTCTCAAACTTTACCAGTGAGTAACTTATTACTTGCCATCTTTGTGCGAGCCTTCTGACATCACTTTACAGAAGGCAACTATCAATTATGCCTGCTGCAGATGTTTCCAAAACACCCGATAAGTCTCACCAACTCCTCCTCCAACTGCCAAAGACTAAAATGCTGGCTTTGGTATTGCTGTGTTCTTCCTTTTTTTTGCCATACTCATTTTGTTGTTAGCAACCAAAACACTCATCAATGAAAGTGGCAATCTGTGCGTCTTCAATAGGGGCTGCTATGCCCCAGCCAATCTTGAATGCTATTGATATATCAGAAATTGCTCACTATACTGAGGACTTTCAAATGTAAGTACAAAAAAAAGACATGAAATGTGTTGTCTCACTGTTCTTTCTTCAGTCGAATCCATCACTTCGTCAATTTTGCCAGCGATGCAGTCAATATCTACTCCATTTCCAAATTACCAAGGCACTTCACTTGGGGCCCAGAACGCGCTGTCAACAACCACAGCACAAGAATATGCAACCCGCTAACTGGACAACCAGCAACCGTGTAGATTGTAGGCCACATTTTGAAAGTATGGTTTACTTACGACAATGAACCGGATAGGAAAGCTACTGTTGGTGTAGTTCCCCTCTCATCAGAGACAGCAGACAAAGTCACAACAATATTATTCAATCTTTCTGCGATGGACGGTTTGTCTCGCACTTGAATTTTGTCCATATGTCTGATTTTGGCGTCCTATATTTCTGCTTGCCCTTAGATCTTGTTGACAAAGGACTAAAAGACATCAAAGCAATAAAATGGCAAAGTAGACTTGTCAGAGGACAAAATTTGCCCGTCAGTAAGTCTTATTGTTGTCCTTCAATTTTACTAACCTCCCTCAGGCAACATTGTGTGATACTATCTATGATGCTCAGGATGCTTTTTGCGACAAAAAAAACATGTTACAATATCACGCATTGGATTTGAAAATAGGAGATCTTGTCCTGATGGAAGTCAACATTGTACATTATAAAATAAAGACAGATGAAAGACAGAAGGCTCTCAACCGCTGGGTGGTGTATTGGACCCACCTTGAATTCATGAGACTATCTTTACTCTATTGTAGCAACACAACACAAGAGAACGCGGAAGAGGACGAAAGTGTTATCCCAGAATTTGTTTTGTAATAAATAACTAAATTACATAGCTTTGTTCGATCATATCTGTAAACAAGTTCCAATTCTTTTGTAGCATAGAATTCCTTTTCTCAAAATTCTAATGGAATACAATAAAACCATACATTTCCCTCACTCCCTTGCCTATAATTCTTGTTTCTCCCGCTCACAATGATGTCTGATCCTGTTGCACGCTGTCGATGATAAGAACTGTTGTTAGAAAAAAACACACACAAAAACAAACTAACACACAATCCTCCCAGATTCCAGGGAACTTGTTTATGGGCTTTGCCTCCTAGAACAGTGGAGTGGTCTGGTTGTTTGTGGGGTGGTACGTATAACAATCCTTCAAAGTAAAACCCAGAGATGTATGAGTGTGGGTTTTGAGGAGGAGGGATAGTTGAATTTATAGAAGATAGGGGCTTAGTGACAAGTATACATGAGCACTACCTTGCTAATTGTAGCACAAGGTAGGTTTGAGAACAACGAGGATGACGAGGTGACAAGGTTCCCAGTGATAGCAGGCTCCTGACGCACAGACTGTAGTGCTCAGAAGGACTCTAATCGAAAGGGATGACAATCACTTTCAAAAGTGACAAGTGACGATGACAGCAGTTGACAGTGGTAGCAGTGGGAAGTGTTGTGACCACACTGGATCACAAGTAGTAGTGAGTAGTGAACTTGAGAGTAGAGAAGAAGTCTGGATTTGAGTTCCTTTTTTTTTACAAGGTAAAATACAGGGGTTTATATAGTGAAAGAAAAGTAGGCTATGCACAGTATAGCTGTGCAAAAAGAATGAGAAAGAACATGAAGGAAGGAATGTACGCTGACAAATCCTGTGTAGGTAGTACAGGATAAGATTGTCAAAAAAAGGAAAAGAAAGGGATAGAACAATGAATGCTGTGAGTAATGTCACAGGTTTGTACAGCCATAAAGTAAAGTCCAATAGCAAAAAGAGAGCAGGAAAATCATGATGTCATGGGAAGATGCAGTAAAAAAAGGGCAAGGCAAAACACTATCAGTATCAACACAGTTCCTTTATTGTCAGTCAGGCATTCTAAAAAAATATGTGTCCATAAAAATGATTCAAAAATCAAAAATAATCGCACTGTAAATGAATGTTCTGCTGAAGAAAAAGAAACTGGAGCCACCGGTCCACCACCTAGTCCAAATCCAACAGTTCCATGGCCTTACCAATGGACTGGTTGTGTTGGACCACCTGATCAAACGAGGGAGGGAGAGGAGTAGTTCCAATTTGGAACAAGTGAGTCCCAGGCAGCGTGTGGTAGGTGTAGCTGTAGCGAAGACAATGGACAAAAGATAAGTGTACCCAAGTGAATGGGACAGCAATGAACATAGGCGATGCAAGGGGATGAACCTTCTCCAGCTCAAAAATTACCCACCCATGCTCCAACCAGGCAAGACGAGCGACCGATGTTTTGATAGTATATGATGGTAGATCGACGTCATGAAGATGGACCTGTTGCCCTATTTGAACCAGCCACCGGGGCTTTGCTGATATCAGCAGTGGCACGTGGTAGTCAACGGATCGGCGACGGAAGCGGATAGGAAGTGGTGACATCAGAAATAGTGGGGGTGCAAATAAGATGAGGAGGAGGAGGGTGGAGGTGACAAAAAAGTGGATTAGAATGGGGATCCAGAAACGACCGTCAGGTGAGAATAAAAAGGAGAGGAAGGGGCCCATGGTGGGGCTAGGCAAAGGAAGGGGAGTAAGGGAAACGACAAAAGCAAGGGCGCAATGCAATGTGTAGCCAGTGGCGACGCAAAAATTTGCTGAAATGCCGAAATGCCGAAAGTACCGAATGGAAAAGCAAAGGTGAGCGTGACTGGATTGCCTAATAGAGGTGATGCTGATCAGCCACAAGTTCGAAAAAGGCAATATTAATGACTATTCCACGTGGCACTGTGCCTGTGTGGCGCAAAGGCGAGTCTTTTCGAATATTCGCTTCGTTATTAACACCTGTCCATGCTACCAATCAACTTTGGTGCATGACACCGTCATCATGCCCAGGATCTGCGCACACACATCAGATAGTATGTATAGTTATGAGCTGAATGTACTCACTTTTTTCATGTCGTCTGGGGCGGTCTTTGTGCCTCTTGGTCCTAGTTAAGAAAGAATAGAGTCAGTTAGTGAGAATAAGAATGAACTGACAGGCTGCTTACGAGGAATGTTTTGTTGAGATAGTATCTTGTCCACCACAGCCTCAGCTACAGTGTCATGTTCCTCGGGCATAACATCTGTCTTGAGCATATATAGAGAAAAGTCAGTCTTGATATCTTCTAAGATGTCCACAGGTATCCTCGTCACTTTGCTGTGGTCAACCCTCCTGCATTTTCCTTTACGAGTAGCCGGGCTTGGATTACGATGATCCAAACCCACATTGTCTGAAGATATGGACATGGAAGGTAATCGAGCGGGAGGATTCTTTTCACAAAATTCTGCAGTTAGGTTGTGAGGTTCACCCATTCCCTAGAATGTTGTTAACACATCATCAGGGATGATTTACAAGCTGGACAAACCATTATTACACAGTGTACATAGCCGCCTCTTTCACTTTGACGCTCACCTCTTCTCTTCTCCAGGTGGGGTTGAGATGAGGATCCAGCTTGAAAATCTGGATGAGATGACGCTGGTGGATGAGACAACACTGTTGGTTGATATTGAGAGGGCTGAAATGAAAGTGGTTGTGGTGGTTGATGCTGGGAGGAAGACAGTAGTTGGTACTGGAAGGAAAAAGGTGGTTGAAGCGAAGGTGGCGGCGGTTGATGCTGAGAGGAAGGCAGTGGTTGAATTGAAAGGGGTGGTGGTTGATGCTGAGGGGGTGGTGGAAAATGGTAGGACGAGCCGCTAGCAAAGGAGCTAGGCTCGTTAGTGAGAAGGGCCTGTGATGGCGGGTACCAACTGCTATTATATTCAGTATAATTGTCCTCAAGTTCCTCTGGAAAGGGTTCCAAGGGTTCTGGCTTGTAAAAATCCAGATGCTCATCATCAAGCTCATAATCTTTGTAGCCAATTTGAGGGTCATAGAAATTAATGGGGTTGGACGTTGCCGGTGGCACAAACATCTGAGAGCTGGATGGGGCAGCTGGAGTCCATGTAGAAGTATTTGAGGAATATGATTGCGGGGCATGCTGGAGCAAGCTATGGGGGCTGCAAGGACGAGAAGGTGATGATTTCACAGTTAGATCTGCCCCAGGAGAGCTAGGTGGAGGAGGAATGTCTGAACTGGGGGGAAGAGGACGAGACCTAGTATCATGTAGCATTGTAAAAGAGTTGACTTTCAAAGAATATTAGGTAGCCTGAGTGGAAGTTGATAGTAAAAGACACTGTGGCTTACTTTCGGAGCTTGAAGGACTTAGCAGAATGGTGGATGACGCACTCAGGCTTGCTACCAGTGCATCTACAGTCTTGTAGTACCCAGACAGCCTTGACTGTTTTTTCCAAGGTGTCACTAGAAATGCCTTCGTGTCCATCTGCAGACTGCCCACAAAAGGATTTTGGGACTTGGGAAGAAGTTCTGAACCATTTGAACAATCCATTGACTCACTGCTTAATCAATTTCAATAATAGTGGACGATTACAAGATCACTCAGGATTTCAGTACCACGGCACTTCAGGTATGACATTTGGCAATGCTGATAACATCATCCAGCAAATACGAAAGGACAATCTGGCAAAGTATCGAAAGAAAAACATATACTATCCCTTCAAAGATTGAGATGAGTGGGACTTTGTCAAGTTCCTCTGTGAGAACATGAACAGAAGTCAGATCGATCATTTTCTGAAGCTCAAATGGGTGAGTTCTTTCTGTGAACAATTATATTAAAGCATACATAACTGTAGTGCATGCATATTAGGTTCAGGATGGCAATCCCTCCTTCTCCTCAGTGCATACTCTGTTTTCCTGGATCGAATCATTGCCTAGCGGCTCCCGGTGGCAATTGCAAGAAATAAAAGTTGAAGGATACAAAACTGCCAAGCCAATGATCCTTCTTTGGAGGGACAGCTTAGAAGTTGCATGGCACTTATTTGCAAACCCGGTGTTCGCCAACCACATTGATTTGGATCCCAAAAACGTGTTTGTAGATTATAATAAGGTGGAGAAGGAGTACAGTGAATTTATGACGGCAGAGTATGCCTGGGAATGCCAGGTGCGCAACATAGCATAGCCATTGGCACTTGTTGATGGATCCAACAGGCTGAACTCCCGTTTGGAGCAACTTTACTTGGGATGATTGGGGCTTCTGATAAGACTGTGGTTACAAGAGGGACTGGGGGGCTTGAAATGCACCCCATATTTTTAACGCTGGCAAATATCCACTCGGAAGTTAGGATGAAA